ATATGCACCTGTGTCTCTGTGTGTCTATGTGTACCTGTGTTTCTCTGTATCTATATGTACCTGTCTCTCTGTGTATGTACCTGTCTCTCTGTGTCTGTACCTGTGTCTCTCTGTGTCTATATGTACCTGTGTCTCTCTGTGTCTATATGTACCTGTGTCTCTCTGTGTCTATATGTACCTGTGTCTCTCTGTGTCTATATGTACCTGTGTCTCTCTGTGTATGTACCTGTCTCTCTGTGTCTGTACCTGTGTCTCTCTGTGTCTATATGCACCTGTGTCTCTGTGTGTCTATATGCACCTGTGTCTCTGTGTGTCTATATGCACCTGTGTCTCTGTGTGTCTATGTGTACCTGTGTTTCTCTGTGTCTATATGTACCTGTCTCTCTGTGTATGTACCTGTCTCTCTGTGTCTGTACCTGTGTCTCTCTGTGTCTATATGTACCTGTCTCTCTGTGTATGTACCTGTCTCTCTGTGTCTGTACCTGTGTCTCTCTGTGTCTATATGTACCTGTGTCTCTCTGTGTCTATATGTACCTGTGTCTCTCTGTGTATGTACCTGTCTCTCTGTGTCTGTACCTGTGTCTCTCTGTGTCTATATGCACCTGTGTCTCTGTGTGTCTATATGCACCTGTGTCTCTGTGTGTCTATATGCACCTGTGTCTCTGTGTGTCTATGTGTACCTGTGTTTCTCTGTGTCTATATGTACCTGTCTCTCTGTGTATGTACCTGTCTCTCTGTGTCTGTACCTGTGTCTCTCTGTGTCTATATGTACCTGTCTCTCTGTGTATGTACCTGTCTCTCTGTGTCTGTACCTGTGTCTCTCTGTGTCTATATGCACCTGTGTCTCTCTGTGTCTATGTACCTGTGTCTCTGTGTGTCTATGTGTACCTGTGTTTCTCTGTGTCTATATGTACCTGTCTCTCTGTGTATGTACCTGTCTCTCTGTGTCTGTACCTGTGTCTCTCTGTGTCTATATGTACCTGTGTCTCTCTGTGTCTATATGCACCTGTGTCTCTCTGTGTCTATATGTACCTGTGTCTCTGTGTGTCTATATGTACCTTTGCTCCTCTCCCCTTGTTGCTGGTCTGTCGGTTTCCTGGTTTCTGTTTGGACTTTTGAGTTTGTTTGTCCCTGGACCCTATCATCATCAAAACATTATTTTTTTCCTTGATTTCACTGTCTGTGAAAATTTCACTGTGTCTGTGTCTGTAAACTTGTCTGTGTCTGTAAACTTACGCAGACATAGAGAGAACATGCAAACTCCACACGCACAGGCCAAGAGACATCTCTCTGCAACAAATCATTTTTAATTGAATATCTTAGTTCTGTTTTGTCATTCTATTAGAAACAGAATTAATAAAATGTATTATTATTATTATTATTCTAAACCGCACTTAAGCAAATCTATTCAGACCCTAACCTTTCACTGTGAATTCCACTGTCCATTTAAAACTCTGGTAGCTTTAACTTTGTACCTCTTGTAAGGCGACAATGTGAGCCACAAAAAATCCATATCAATAAATTGTAATATTATCATTGTTGTTACTATTATTATTTTTGGTGACTCAATGTAATCTCGAATGTACTGGTTGCCATCGCTCCTATTCAAACTAAGAAAACTAAAAGTGAACAAAAAGCCCTGGACGTGATCAAATAAAAAAAGTTAAATCATGAACACAGTGACTTTTCTTAAACGTCTGGGACAGAACTTTTCGGCTGAGTGCTTTCAGGTGGAGCTAAAAGACTCGACCCTTTTTCAACTAAAGAATAATACTGCTTCATTCCAGCGGTAATGACTTCAACTCAGAAAAACTCTATCTGTGGATCCGTGTCCACTCAGACTCTCACAGACTCTTCAGACTCTTCAACAGGAGAGGAAAGAGCTTTGATCGCACGCAGAGAATAAAGCTGAAGAAACCTTTGTCTGGGTTTTAAAGCTGAAGGAGAACGGTCCACACTATAATGGATCACGCTCAACAATGTTTTATCAGTCCTTAATAACCACAGTCACACTTTAGTTCAGCCCTCACTCATTTACAGGTCATTTATGGTTAATTGCCCCTAATGTGTATTTATGGATCAAATTAAAATACAAACAAAAGACTTTCAACAAGTACAAAGAGGAGGAAGTTATACGTCACTAGGGGGCGCAATCGGGCTAAACTAAATTGGTCTTTTTGTTTTTTAAATTTTTATTTACTTCGTTTTGTTGCTTATATTGTTATTGTCTTCTCACTATAGTCATTAGGATCATTGTTGAGCTTGAAGAGTTATGTTGCTCTAAACAGTCGCCTTTATTTGCCGTTACTGCGGCTGTTATTGTCTGTTCTTTTCTTGTTTTTTTTAATACATTTTACAGTTGCTGTTCTAGGTAAAATGTTTAAATGTGTTTCTGTTAATGTAGTGTTTTGGGGGCAACAATAAGCTCTTGCTTTGGCCCACTCCTTGTCTGCTCAAATAAACAAATAAAATAAAATAAAAATTAATAAAATGGATCGATTATTAGTCCTTATTCTACATGGACTTATTCTACATCTATCTTACTACGAACTGACACTTGGGTTAAGGGCTGTTAAATATCTACAACTTCATCTGTCAAAAATGATATATTTCAAACGGTTTTAGTCTGATGGTTTAGTCTGATGTGATGCTTTATGTGGGTCGGGCTGTGATCTTTGTGTTTCCTTGTGTAGGAAAAGCACAAATAAAGGTTGATTGAAATGAATCAATCAGGAAGCGGTGAGAAAGGGGCGGGTCTAACCAGGACTTTGGGAAAGAATCTATTTTCACTATACAAAAGATCATTTCAATTCACATTCTCTCCTCGTAAACCTTCAACCATGTGACAACATTATTCCTGATCAAGAATCTTGAGGATGACCTTAGGAGCTTGGCTCACATACCCCTCACCCTTCTGTCGAAATGCTGTTTTCAAACTTGTCAAATCCTCAGACTTTTTTAGAATCTATTTATTTTTATTTATTTTTGAATGCATGTCCCTGGGCAAGACACTTAACCCCACATTGCCTGAAGCCCCCGCTGAAAAACCAAGGCCATCTCGTCGATGTCAGAGAAGCCATCTTCCCGTGGACCCACCACCTGCAGGAGGATCAGCAACGGACTGGTGCTATGAGACCCCCGACCCAGAGACAATGACAGGACATGACATGAATGCATGTGTTTCTGCTGCTACTGGACACCTGAATTTCTTCTACGGGGAATCAATTAAGTATCTATCTATCTAGGCCTTTACACACGGCAGACCCGGGACAACAGTGGGGAAGATAGCTGTGTTGTTTGCACCCGCGTCGACTTTCCACCACAGAGACAACAGGAACGAGTAAAAATAATACACTTTCAAAATCAGTCACAGCACAGTGTGCCCTTCTTATGATTAAAGCTTAGAATGTATTTTTAATAAGACAGAAGTGTAAAGAAGCTAGTTAGCAGTGCACCCACATGTTTCATTAGAGCAAGTTTATAAAAGAAAGAGCAGCACACGCAACAGCTCAAACTCAGACGGTTTGAGCTTCACTCTTGTGCCACAGCTCATTACGCTGTTGATATGTGACGTGTGTAGTTTCATAACCTTCATCTGACCCACATGTGAGCAGCCGCCTTTAGAACGGTTTGGTTTTACTGCTGTCTGAGTTAGGGCTGTGTGTTTTTGCTCAGCGGAAATTAGACAATAACCAAAGTTTTGTTTGGATCTCTATGTTACACGTTTTAATTACAGAAAGCACAATGTAAGTTTCTGTTTCTACCACCAGGTGGGATTGTTGTTGCTTGTCCTAAACATCTCACGTTCCATTGTGTTCTGTTTGCATGCTTATATTTTTTGTTATATTTTTGACTAGAGAAGAGCACTTTTATGGTCTGTCTTTGCACACCAGCTACAATAAATAATCATGAAAATATCAGTCACTGTACAATATTGTGGAACAAAGCAGCTCTTTCAGTTCAGACACAATTCTCCAAATGTTTCTAAGGTACTTTTTCTCAAGGTCTCTGGCTTTATTCTTCATTACAGAAAAACTTGACCTTCCTCTTTGTTTAGCCATCCAAATCTACATGTTCCCTATAGAAATCCAACACTAACGCCATTTCAAGGCCAATGCACCCAGATGTGACTTCGTGCTTTGTCTCAGAATGATCTCGTCACAGCGCATTGGAAATCACTCTTTACGCAACACCAGTTCAAAGTCGGACGTTGCGCCACTAACCCAATATTGAACTGAACCTCATTAGCCCCACAGTTTGGACTTTGCCTTCTCTTGCAAGCTTTACGTCAGACTTTGCGTGCGTCCATTCAAATGCAAAGACTGCAATTTGGCTCCGACGTTCGGAGAGTTGTGCTCCATCCTGCTACGGTTTGCAAGGCTAAGTTTTGACATTTTTCACCAAGAGAATCCATCCAATTGAAATGGGAAAGCTGTTCGAAAGACCATTGTGCAATCTTCTTAATATAGAACAAAACAAAAATCGCCATGCAAAAGCTGTTCCATCGTACTTTAGAATCCATTCCAAAGCTCATCTGTTATTCTCCATTCACCAAAGACACATTGCAAGTCTCCAAATCGTCTCCAATGGTCCTAGCATTGTCCACCTTTCTGCTGTGGTTCATTTTAATCAACTGTTTGGAAGGATTTTTTTGGAGTTGTCGGCAAAGAATCTTTACGTCCTTGTAAGTAATTTAAAGTCATCAGAATCCATTCAAATGAGAAAACCCATCATCCCAATATGTTGAATAGAATTAGGCTAACTGTACAAAAACCACATCAAAAACTCACAGTACACGAATGGATTTCACAACCGCTCCATCGTACTTTAGAATCCCTGCCAAGGCTTGTCTGTTATTCCCCGTTCACCAAAGACACATTGCGAGTCCCCAAAAAGGCTCCAATTCCCCTTTCACCAAAGACACACTGCGGGTCTCCAAATTGGCTCCAACGGTCGTAGCATTGTCCACATTCTTAATCCATCATCTGCTTCATCGCTCCTCAGATGCTCGTCTGCAGTTCCCCGTTGAGCAGCGCCGCATTGTGAGTCTCTAAAGTGGCTCCGATGACCGCAGCGTCGTGCCCCATGCGGCTGCGGTCCGCCCGGCTATCGCTGCGCTCCATCTCGTCCAAACCTGCCACCTTCTTCAGACACAGCACGTTCTGGAAGCTCTTCTTGAAGTTGTCGGAGAGAAAGGCGTACAGAATGGGGTTGGCGCAGCTGTTGGCGTAGCCCAGGACCACCACGCAGTCAAAGGTGCTCTTGACGACCGGAGTGGGGATGATGGCGCTGGAGACCGACGTGACGTTGAAGACGTAGAAGGGAAGCCAGCAGAGCACGAACACGGCCACCACGATGGACACCATGCGGGTCACTTTGCGCTCTGAGCGTTTGCGTTTGGTGGAGCCCACGCGCATCCCCGACGACTTCACCTGGAGACATGTGTTATAAATGTTTAGACATTGTATGGGTTAGGGTTGTGCAGTACCTGCATCACAGCACAATCTGTTCATATCGATCACATCACAGGCTGAAGTTTGCTAGAGCTGAATTAATGTCCTTGATGGCCCTTTCTTTCACCGTCTTTGCGGAGGTTTTTGAAGTCTGAAAATAGTTACTCTGAATTTTTGATGAATGAAACCTTCAGTGAACAGCCTTTTGAGCTTCATTGATCATCGTATTGCAACAAAACTTCTCATTACATCGCAAACATGAAGCATTCCTTCCTCATTGACTTAAAGAAAATGTTCATTCTTGTTCTTAGCCCAGTCTTTTTATCGACTCTTTCTCTTTTTAGCTTTGGGATCCATGCGCACACGCTGGGCTGGTTTGTTTAAAACAGCGGCCCCCTGGCGCGGAGCCGCGTCACAAGATATGACGCATTACGTTGACAGATATTTTTTAATTGAATATTACTTACGCACATTTTTACAGCATTTAAAAACTTTAAGAATGTTTTTCCTCCTACAGAAACCACATTCAAACTAGAAATAAAATATAGCCATCCCACTCCATTTTCAGACCTTTGAAGCCACTCGAGGAGCACTAAAAAGCTGCATGCGGCTCCAGAGCCACGGGTTGCCGACCCCTGCCCTGAAGTTGGTTGGAAGACACAATGGCGACTTTGTGTTAGCAGTAGAGGGCCACATAAAATGGTTCAAAGGGCCGCAACTGGCCTGCGGGCCTGAGTTTGTATAGAACATTCTATGGGTTAGGGTTATGTGTTATATATGTTAGGACATTCTATGGACATCTGATAATTAGGTCTGATGTACATTCAACTCAAAATAAATAAGCACTGAACTCAACAAGAGCAAATGAAGGTTTCATACACACTTTTCACATGTTAATATTCATTCAGTCCAAACACAGCGGTGATAAACTCCTGTAGCCACAGACCATGAATCCAATCTCAGAAACACATCATTCTTTTCTGTTTATAATTGAAACAACACAATTACTCTCATTTTAGTCACGATAGCAATTCAGATGCAATTAAAGCACACAATTAAATTCTAAAACAAAAGAGACTCAAATAATTGTGTTTGTTTATTCAATATAAATGTAAATGTGTCTAAGTGTACATGTATAATTACGGATTGACCCTGTGTGTTTCAAGACCACTTCATCGTCCAATTACCTTGTGAAAGAAAGTCTATAGGAGGACATTTCTATAAATAAATAAACCCTGCCCTTCACTAAACCGTGTGTGTATTGTACGCCACTTTAGCAGTAGAATAGAGTGATTGCAGAACATTTTTGGTCTTCCTAACAAACTCTTTCCTGTATCTATAGTGAAGCTACTGATAAAAGATACAGAAAACATATAAATATAATCTATTATTCTACCGTCTTCCCTCTCACTCCATTCTCCTGAACGTTTACTTCAAATGGAGCCAGGTTTGATTCGTGACCAACAACATTCTATGGCAGCTACTCCTTTTCTGGATCTGGTTTGAGACTATTTCAGACTGCTCCAGAACTGGTCCAACTGGTCCTGGAGCAGTTTGGTTTTCAGCATGGTTTTTCACCAGAGCTGTCGCCATAGCAACGCACTTTACAGGAGTTACATTTAGCAGATTTCCAACTGATTTTGCTGAGTTTCAAATGATTTAACTCCATGTGAATGTATGAAGGACTTGTGGGAAAATAATAATGTTTTTAGGGAAGTTAAAATCAAGTGCCTTCCAGAATGCTGGGAGTCCTAGTGTTCGGTATCTGAGTAGTGTTAAAGGAGCTATACCCGTTTCTGCAAGGTTTGAATGTTTAGCACCGCCCCCAACTCGCTCACAGGCTTCTCATTTCTCCTACGCTCTCATTCCGCAGAGCCATCTAGTTTTATTTGCGATCTATAGGCAAACATTAGCATGAGCGCGACTTCTTGTAAGCTGTCCAACAATCACTGATGAAATGGAACAAAAGCAACGCACCGCTAACTAAATATACAACTGAAAGATTATCGCTACTTTCGCGTACGAATGTGGCCCGAGCATAGATAGTCCGAGGCAGTCCCGCAGGTCTCTCCCATAGACTCTCCAGAGGATACGATGTAAGCTTGCTATGTTCACCCGGGCTTGATATCTTCTGTGATAATTTTTTCGCTTTAGATCCCTCTTCTCTTCCTCACTGTTGTGTCGTTTGGGCTGTTTTGCTGTGTATGCCGTTACAGCAAGAGGAGTTATAGCCAATTCTGCTGACATGTTACTGTGTTTACCAGCACTGTAGAAGCTAGAGGACGCAGCCTCGTTCTGTGAGTGGAGGAGAGCGGGCGTCACGCGAAGTCTCTACTCAGCACTTTTTACGGCCTGAACTCATACACAAGCTGAATCAATGAGCTCAAGTTTTCAATTAAGTTACGGATTATAATACAACTTGTTTGTAGTAATAAGCATTTTTATGACCTCATAAAAAAATAAAAAAATCAGGCATAGCATCTTTAAGTGTTAAGTATCTAAGTAGTGTTAAGTATTTCAGTAGTAAGTATGTAGTGTCTGGTCTCAGGTCTGACCTTGATGATGATGAGCAGGTAGCACATACAGATGACCGTCAGAGGGAGGAAGAAGCCAATGAAGAAGGTGTAGACGATGAAGGCGGTGTAGTAGAGGTCCTGCGGCTCTGGCCACACGATGCCACACACTGGAACGCCGTCCAGGCCGCTGAACATCATGGTGGGCAGGATGACCAGCAGAGACACGCCCCACACCGTCAGGTTGATGACTTTGGCCACGCGAGGCTTCCTCCACTTGGTGGAGCGGATGGGGTGCACCACGGCCAGGTAGCGGTCGATGCTCATCACCATCAGACAGAAGATGCTGGTAAACTGGTTCAGCGAGTCTGCAACACCACACAATGTAAACATCTGCTTTAGCATTAAAAAAAGAGTCAGTTATTAACTTGGTTCAAATACAGGACATAGAATCTGCTGTTGTGGTCAGTGAGGTCAGCGGGTCGATGGGAAACGTGTTTTCTATAATCTGTGAATCAGACGTGAGGAAGAAGCCTCTAGCAACACGTCACTCATGACTTCATCTGTGTCATAACCAAAGCAGATATGTGGTTTTTTACTGTGGTCCAGTTTTTTGCATATGTCACATTTACTACAGAACAATCTCACACTGTGACTGTCACTGCTCTGTTCACATTCTTTTGGACAAACATCAATAACTGCATCCTATTCCATCGGCCTGATTTTCACCAACGCTGCTACTTTCCTTGTGCTTTCTGCATTATTTTGATTGGATTTGCAGAAGAGAGACTGGAAGTGTTACATCAAGAATATAGAATTGTGAGATGAAGTGAGATGAAGGAGCCATTATGTAACAGACTCTTCTGTGTCTCTGCTCAGACCACAATGTGCTTCTCACGGTCGACTGAACCAGGTTTCGATATGGCACGTTAAACTGCAGTGTTTACATTAGTTGTATCTCTAGAAGGACATTCCAGAGGCAAACAAGGCTGTGAAAGAATCATTGAATAATTAAACTAGGAGCAGAGTCAGCAGCTGATGCACCGACAGAAGCGTGCGGAGAAGAACCTGCTATTATCTTATTCTTACAACTTGTTTGCACCTTGAGCCAAAGCAGTTTCCTAGTTGTTTCCCGTTACATACAAGCAATAAAAAGGATTTTGATATTGATTCTGATTATAATAATAATGCATCAGTTTTAAACGGCGCTCTCTGGACTCTCAAAGTCTCTTCGCGTGTCTTTGTTCATTCACTCCAAACACACAGTAGTGATAAACTACTAGTGTAGCCACAGCTGCCTTAGAGCACACTGACAGAAGCCACCACCACCAACCATTCACACACACTCCTGACTCATTCTAATGTGTGCGAAGTGTCTTGCTTAAAGACACAACCGTTTGACACTGCGGTACCTGGTGTTCCCAGAGGTCTCCCATCACAGTGCAAACCAGACCCTGCCTTTCTTAGCTTCAGAGGTCTGTGGGATCTGGCTTTGACCTGCATTTATGGCCACATTATGGGTCAAAAGTATAAAAAATCAAGACATGAATCCAAACTAGATCCAAGTGTGGGTACAAGAGCAATGGCATAAAGCAGAACTGGATGTTTCCTTCACCTGCAGGGGGCGCCACACACTGAGACCCTGACCCCTGACTCACCCACGCTCATGATGAGGCGGCACAACACCTCTCCAAACGGCCAGTGCACCAGAGCGAGCTGGAGGCCGATGAAGGGCAGGCTCGTCATGCACAGGACGTCGGCCACGGCCAGGTTCAGGATGTAGATGTTGGTGACCGTCTTCATCTTGGCGTAGCGCAGGATCACGTAGATGACCAGCGCGTTGCCGCACAGTCCCACTGCGCACACGGCAAAGTAGATGAGTGTGATGACCATGGAGCTGGTGGCGTCCTGGTGGATCACTCTCTCTGTGGCGTTGGAGTCCGAGACGTTCTCTGGGAAGAAACTGTCGTACAGCAGGGATTCTGGGAAGGAGAGGTTCGCCGGGAGGAGGGGCCACTGCTCCATCGGCACGGTCTGCTCCACCGCCATGGTCACGTTCAGAGACACGCTCAGAGACACGTTCAGAGACACGCTCAGAGACACGCTCAGAGACACGTTCAGAGACACGCTCAGAGACACGCTCAGAGACGATTATGGGGAGATCTGTCTGAACGACGCTACATTGTTCTTTCTGGTTGTAGAAACTGTTGAAAGTGTCGCACAGATGAGCAGGTGTTTGGATCGTTTACAGAACGGTGGAATCCATTTTGCTGAATATTTCCATGGACCTAGAAAGAAAGAAACAAAAATATCTGATTAATGGTATATACAGTACAGACCAAAAGTTTGAACACACTTTCTCATTCAATGAGTTTCCTTTCTTTTCATGACTATTGACAGTAGATTCACACCAGGCTGTTAAAGGGCTGTTTGACCAAAAAGGAGAGTGGTGCTGGGCCAGACGACCCGGCCTCCACAGTCACCGGACATGAACCCAATCCAGATGGTTTTGGGGTGAGCAGAGTGAAGACCATTCCATGTTGGAAGACCATTTCAGGTCACTACCTCTTGAAGCTCATCAAGAGAATGCCAAGAGTGTGTGAGGCAGTAATCAGAGCAAAAGGTGCTACTTTGAAGAACCTGAAATATAAAATATATTTTCAGTTGTTTCATACTTTTTTTTTAATACATACATAATTCTACATGAGTTAATTCATAGTCTTGATGCCTTCATTGTGAATCTAAAATGTTCATCAATTCTGAAAATTAAAAACTCTTTGAATGGGAAAAGATTTTGGCGCTACTCCCCACGGGCTCCGTTAGCGGCCAAGGAGATGGCTAGGCTAAATGCTTACGACTCACTCGGGCGCATTACAAACGTCACGGTAAACTCAGATCCAATCTTTTCAATCTGCAAAAGGAGTTAACCCCTTCCACCTGTTAACGGAGTTTGAATTTGGGTTTGATAGTTTCATGGAAATAATGACATAAAAATAAACCACAAACAGAACAGAAAAAAACAGCACAGTCATGAAGACCACTAATTTACATTTGCCAAGTACTTACACTTCCAAGACTGAAAGCCGTCAAATGGACTGCTCTGGGAGTTCAAGTGTTAACATACTTTTTAAAACATTCCCACACGCTGGAACATTGTGGAATCACCCAAACCTCTGTGGCCAAACTTTTGGTCTTTACTGTATATGATTCAATTCAATGTATTTCTGATTTTCTGGACCGCAATAAATCACAACAGTAGTTATCCCAGAGGTCTTTAAAAAGCTGTCTATTTCAACAATAACAAACACATAGAACTATTGGTCCATAAGGGGCAGATACCAATGTCCATAAATGTTAATAAATGTGGAGTGTCCTTAGGGCCTCTTGCATCAGAGGAACAACTCTAAAACTCAGTGGGAGAAGATAATAATCTGTTTTGTATCATTATAAGCCAAAGACATGAAGGATCTTTGGCCACAGAGGTTTGGGTGATTCCACAATGTTCCAGCGTGTGGGAATGTTTTAAAAAGTATGTTAACACTTGAACTCCCAGAGCAGTCCGTTTGACGGCTTTCGTGTGTAAGTAGTGTAAGTGTAAGTACTTGGCGTATGTAAATTAGTGGTCTTCATGACTGTGCGGTTTTTTTCTGTTCTGTTTGTGGTTTATTTTTATGTCATTATTTCCATGAAACTATCAAACCCAAATTCAAACTCCGTTAACAGGTGGGAGGGGTTAACTCCTTTTGCAGATTGAAACGATTGGATCTGAGTTTACCGTGACGTTCGTAATGCGCCTAAGTGAGTACTTAGCATTTAGCCTAGCCATCTCCTTTGCCGCTAACAAAGCCCGTGGGGAGTAGCGCCAAAATCTTTGCCAGAGATTACATTTGCTAAACATTCCTCTTTCTCCGGCTTCAATTTCTTGATAGAACCAGACCGGATTACTTTACTATCGCATTCTTCGCCATTGCCAAAATACAACCTTCCCATTCGACGCAAACTCTTGACGTCACCCACAACTAACTACAACACCCGCCTCCCGCGCTCGCTGATTGGTTGGATTGAATTCAACCGATTGTAATCGCAAATGTCGTTACCAGACCCAGATGTTACATGCAGTGAAATGATGATTGAGCGGAGTGTACGGATGGCTAAGGCCAGGCTAGATCTGGACTGTTCCTGGACTGCTTCTTGTTCTGGTTCAAGACTGGTTCTGCTCTGGTTCTGAGCTGAGTTAGAGAAGAGTGAGTGCTGGTTGTAAGTAAGTAGTAGTAGTAAGTAAGTATTTATTTATATACCGCCTTTTCACTGCAGATCTGAGTCTCAAAGCGGTTTACAATTGTTAATTTTTTGGCATTTGTCTCTCACTCCACACAGAGATGGGAGCGCGGTCGCCAGTACAGGAGGCGCATGCTAGAACTATTGGACATATTTTTAGTGGTAGGGGAAACCGGAGTACCCGGAGGAAACCTACGCAGACACGGGGAGAACATGCAAACTCCACTCAGAAAGGCCCTGGTCCGGCCGGGATTCGAACCCAGGACCTTCTTGCTGAGAGGCGAGAGTGCTATCCACTCAGCCACCGTGCCGCCCTTGTCACAGCACCTTCCTTATTACTGTCAGAAGTTAGTATTTTAAAAATATGTAATTAAGTTTGACTGTATTTCAAGTTATTTTCACCAGCTTCATCACTAATAAAACTGAGTAAAGGTAAAGAAAAATGAAAAAAATAAACATTTTTGGGGCACTTTTCAGAACGCCACTGGTCTGAACGGGAGCAGTCAAAAAGACAGCTCTGAGTGTTAGAACCAACACCTGTCACACGTCTGTCCAATCGGCTGCAGGTGAGAAGTGAATCAGAGCCGACCCACACACAGCTGCAAGTTCACCAAACAACTTCTGAGTCTGATGTGTCTCTGCACATCCATTGTTCACGCCTATAATTATAAAACTACAGAGCCCCAGCTTCACAAAGACTGTGTGTGCTCCACAGTTGCAGGTGAAAAAAGCTTTTTTTAAGAAAATAGGCCAAAGTCAAGGGAATAAGCTCCTATAACAACATTGTGTCACACTTTTGTTTAACCCTCACTAATTAGCAGCTGATTAAATTCTAACTAGTGTGGTTAATTAACTCTTAATTGGAATTTATTACACACTTATTAGTCCTTATTCTCAATCTAACTAACTAACTAATAATTCCCAAACGTCCCAAAGTGTGTTAAGGTTAGGGTATAAGGGTACACTGATTACTGATTTCTAAATAGCTCATATTGGCAGAAAATGTAAATCCACCTCCTCATATCCTGCTATCTTTGCTCTGCAGACTGTGGTTCTTGGATAACACAAGAACAAAAGACATTAGATACTAAAGAACTTCCTTCAAGCCTTTTATCTCTAATTATTTAAGATTCTACTCCCACATAATCAGTGTCTAAACAACAAAATGAAGCTTCAGAAACAAAGCAGTAATGGGATAATTAATTAAATGTATAAAGCAAAAATATGGAAAAACATTATTCTTCATCTTCAGTATTATTGAAAGTAATGAACATGTTTGTGTTAGTTTGATGCGAGTGATTAAACACTTTTTGAACCTGGATCTGTGTAAATGAGAGAAAGAAGAGGAGAATAAAGCACTTGGAGACTTCAACCATTTTCTTTGGTTCATTTAAAAACAAAGTTTTAACACTTCCCTCCATTGGCCATGTTGCACTATTTTCAGCATTTTTCGACCGTCTGCTTCCCTTCTCTCCCATCGCTGAAGTCCAGCCCGCTCAGGGATCACCTACATGTGATCTTCTCTCAGTGTTAGAGATTTACTGTTTACTCCACTGACTTTTCATTTCTCCATATCTACTCCTCCGCAACATCTCACGGAGTCCATTATTTTCACAGAACTCTGTCTCTAATAATTTCTCTATGCTCCAATCTCACAACACTGCAGTGGCTGATGTCTGTGAGGCTGTGTTTGAGTCTTACAGACAGAACATGTTACAGGTCAGATCTGTGGAGAGGCTGCTAAAGACAGAATTTTAATCACACTTACGTCCCCTACAGACCACACAGCAACACAAGAGGAAGGTCGCAGTCTGATTAGAGTAGAAGTTTGTAACACACACACACACACACACACACACACACATACACGTTTTTGTTACCTGGTGGGTCCCTTTGACAGGGCCGTTCAGAATGGGACCCATAGACATAATCTTTTTTTACCAAGACTTTAAGTAATACAAAACAGTCAATAGAAACCAAACAACTATTTTAAAGGAATTTTATTTTAGATTTTGTTTTCGAATTGCAGTGATTCTATTTTTGACATAGAATTTAATGCCACTCCATGTCCGATGTCTAAGGTCATCTGGTGAGGCATTAATGCAGGCCAGGCAGTGAGACTTCCCAGGGACCTTTCCAGTCTGTATGAAAGGTGTCATGGTCTTCTCCACAGCCTTCACTCAGATGCAGACCATGGCTTTCTTACACGTTCTAGGGAGAGAAATAAAAATATATTAGCAATATACACTCCCAGGGTTAGGACCAAGCAGCCTGGCTGTAATCCCCCACCTGGTACACTTACCAGAAGGGGCACTGCCACTACCATGGGGTGCATCTGGATGAATGGTTGAAGGTTCTCCGCTTGAAGTTTCTTTTAGCCCGTCCGTTTGTGAGAGGATCTCTACTGCTCTCCCTGTCGCACAGAAAATAAAAATACAAGTGGCCTTTAGGGGAAAAAAATCATACATATTTTAATAATATCAAGAATTACCTTCAGGCTCAATTTGTATCTGGTCGAGGCTCTTTCCTTCGAATTCCGTCACTCTTCCCTGCTCCATGGCCATCAACACTTTGCTGATTTTGGCCAGCTCCAGTGTCCCCCTGGTAGTCTGTAATATTGCCTGTGGATGCGAATGTCATGGCCGAGGAAGTTGGCAAGTATGTCCATCTCATTCTCTTTCATATTGAGAACTGTAGACATAGTAGCTATGTGCTTTCTAAGTTTGGTTGAGGATAGCATCTCTGGATGCACCGCACCACATTCTTTGGCT